AATTGAAAAAATTAACGAATTATTAACGAATTACGAATTAACGAAACGAAACCGCCCAGCCCTACTGAATATAAGTAGGCATATATTATTAAAGTAATTAATCATAAGATAGTTGCCTAATATTTTGGTAACATAATTTTTAGGACCTATGGGAGCACTGTGCCTTCCTGATCCTTGATAAAGAGGTGCACCATATGCCACATAATTTGTTACAAACAGTTTAGCAGACTTTGCAGTTGCATGGCATTGGAAAACCAACAGTTTCTTCTATATCCTCCATCTCCAAGATCTTGCAACTTTCTTTTTTTTAAAAAAAAAATAAACATTTTAAACACGAACACAAGGAAAGAGGGAGAACATTCCAAAAGAGGATAGAAAAGTAGGAAACCTGATCACCATAAGAAAAAAGTCATAAAGAAAAATACAGAGGGCAAATAAAGAGAAAAAAGAAAAAAAAACACAAAACAAAAAAACCTGAAAAAATACAAAAAATATTTAAAAATGCAGAAAAAATAGAAAAAGTGCAAAAAAAAAAACCCAACCAAAACCTATACTAAAATGACTTCCACTCCAGCCTCAGGATCTTCATTAAGTAGTTCTTTATCTAGTTTGTGTTTTCTTATTTTCTACTATTCTTCTATTTTTTTCGTAATCATAAAAAAGGGTCCAATCTGTCCTTTTTACCAATTTTCCGGTATTTTTCCTCATCAAAAAAGTTAGTTCATCCATGTCTCTTATTTCTTTAACCTTATCTATCCATTCATCAATAATGGGAGTCTATTCTTTTTTCCAGTGTCTTGCAAAGCTAATTCTAGCTGCTATTGTTAAATATGTTAACAATTTGTCTTCATTTTCTTCAAATTGTAATTCCAAGTCTGTGAAGCCCAATAAATAATATTCTGGTTTCTTCTTAAACTTCCTTTTTAATTTTTTTTGTGTTTCCTCATGTATCAATGACCTATATTTAGATGTTTCTTTACATGTCCACCACATATGGTGTTGTTGTTCATTCGTTCAGTCGTCTCCGACTCTTCGTGACCTCATGGACCAGCCCACGCCAGAGCTCCCTGTCAGCCGTCACCACCCCCAGCTCCTTCAAGGTCAGGCCAGTCACTTCAAGGATGCCATCCATCCATCTTGCCCTTGGTCAGTCCCTCTTCCTTTTGCCTTCCACTTTCCCCAGCATCATTGTCTTCTCTAGGCTTTCCTGTCTCCTCATGATGTGGCCAAAGTACTTCAACTTTGTCTCTAGTCTCCTTCCCTCCAAAGAGCAGCCGGGCTTTATTTCCTGGAGGATGGACTGGTTGGATCTTCTCGCAGTCCAAGGCACTCTCAGAACTTTTAAACAACACCACACCACAGTTCCACCACAACAACTCCAACACCACAGTTCAAGAGCATCGATCTTCTTTCGCTCAGCCTTCCCTAAGGTCCAGCTCTCACATCCGTAGGTGACTACAGGGAATAC